ACACTGCATTGACTTCAGACCAAAAGTGTTTAATTACGAGTACATGTATACAGCAATATGCCAGTTGTAGAGAGAGAGAGGAATGGGGTTTAACGTCCACTCGACACAAACTAGGTCATTTCGGGACTAACATATGGTTTAATTTTATTTCAATAATTCGCTTGCGCGTAGGGGTCTTTAGCAGTGGGAGGAAACCGGAGGACCCGGAGAAAAGCCACCAGGTTGGACAGGCGACCCTACTCCTTGTCACGTACAACCGGGTATTATTGATAATAACAGTTTTTATTGAAAACATCGCAACCTTAAATCTAATCTCGCATCGTATCTTAAGCACATGATATGAATTTTGAAACAAGAGAATTCTTAAATCAGCACAGGATGGCGATATAAAATTACAGGTTCAAGGAAAGGACATTATTCGTTGGCAAACAGTGATATATAATGAATGGTGAGTATAATTTTTGAAACTATACGCAAAAACAACCATTTAAAGTTCTAAGTGTTTCTAAGCATAGCTTTAGGAAGAATAGCTGGAAACGGAAACGTGAAATTGATATTTTCCAAGACGTCTTAATAATGGTGAGATTGGAATCAAAGCCACCTGTAGACTTATCTACCCTTTAATGTAAACAACATATATATACTCCGTGGTGTATTTTTCGTAAAATGATACCAAGCCAAATCAAAATCCTATTGATTACAATTCGTAGAGTGATCTCCCCTTTAATTTAAGAAACTGACTGACGGGAACGAATCAAAAGCCTGGTGGTCAAAGTGATCTCCCCTTTAATTTAAGAAACCGATATGCGTTTGAGTTATTAGAGTATGTTGTAAAAATAAGGATGGTAAGATGAGGTTACATATTGAGGGTTATTATTGTGGTAATGATAATAAGAGAAGTAAGTATAAGGTTGTTAGTTATTAATATTGGTGTATAATAAGGTGTTATATGATATAAACATGACAAGGTATGATTACAATCTCTGACATACCATCTTTATATATATATTGTATACACTACCAGTTGATAATAGGCTAACTAACACTTGTCTGCCAATAGATGTTTAACTATATGAAGTCTCCAAATTATTAATGTCACAGCTATGATTATTACAATCTGTGCTTGTACATTGCCGTGATGTTGATAATATACTATGTATGATAGATGCCTCCTAGTAATAAAAAGAGAAGGTGCACTTTAAATTGTTTGCTAAAAGAGAGTAAGCATGCCCTGTCTCTTGAACGACATATGTCACTACAATGATCACATGAAACAAAGTGCTACATATACGTCCTGCATTCCCCACAAAGAAAAAAAAACGAAAACAAAGTCCTCGGTTACCTAAGCGTGCGTGATTAGTATACACACACTGAAACCAAACCGGTCATCGATAATAACCCATAATTGGGCGCCTAGCTACGCTCGGGGTCTGTTTCACTTTGGCTATCAATTACTCCCATTCCCATGGTATATGGACGTTAAATATTGTACTACACGAATATACATTATAAAGGCCGACGTTGATTAAACTCTGCGCACGTTATTAAATATTTGAATGCTGGATCTAAACACATCCCTGCAGCTGTTAATAGTGAGGCAAATTTCTATCAATGGATCTGATTGACACACACCACATCGAAAACAAATAAAGCTGAAGCAATTTACAAAATTGATAGATTTAACTTTTTCATACCCGTGTGTCAGTATGTAGTGGCACTGGCTCAATAACCAGGATAACTCGGGTTAGCCAAGAAAGTTTCTCGAGATTTTCCAGTCAAGTTTCTTTCTACTGGAGAATATGACAAGGAACCGCGTCTAGTCGTTCAGATGGAGTGAACAAACAGAGGTTGGCATGCACGTTGGCATACACGTGAAATAACCCTCGTCGATGGAATTTGAGAAAGAGTCTTTTCATTTCATTTCAATATCTGGTATTAGTGCAGAGACAATTTAACAGTCACGTATCAGAAATAAGCTCAAATAACTCCTGGTGGGAATAGGTCAAATGCGCGTGGGCAAAAGGGTAAACGGTTATAACAAATTAAATCAAATTATAAACAATAAATCGACGGAAAAGAAAATTGAAGTGTTTGGTACATAATATTAATAAATCAAGCTGATATTGTTCTCAGCGATTGTGTAAATATTGCATCAAAATTATCCAAACGGTGGACAATGTTGAGAGTTCCTCCAATGTTGAGTTAATCAACTGGTGCCCATCTAGTGGAATCGAATGTGATCGATGAGAAATGAACAGATCTCCACACTTCCTAGATAATTCGAAGAAAAGTTATGGAAACAAACATAATTTACAAACTAAATAAATGTAATGATTGACATTGAGACTAACTCGTTGAATTTTATAAACCGCCTAATACCTTCCATGCAAGGACTGGTCATACCCGTAAAGGGAGGATGGGTAGTCGAATGGTTTAACGCGTGCTCCTTAATTCATACGGTCTGTCACTGAGTCAGGTGGCATGGTTTAGATTCCCTGAGTGTACATGACAAGAAGTAGGGTCACCTGTCCAACCCCGTGGGTTTTATCCGAGTCCTCCGGTTTCCTCCTCCACTATGCGAAATATATTTTAATATGGTAGTTCTAAAATGACCTAGTTTGTGTCGAGTGGACATTAAACCCTGTCGTTTCGTTAAATAAATTTTATTTTTTAATGCATTTTTCATGAGAGAGAGAGAGAGAGAGAGAGAGAGAGAGTTATGTAGAGTTTGACAAAATAGGTAATTAAGTATATGGCCCAATATTCTAAAGAGAGAGAGAGAGAGAGAGAGAGAGAGAGAGAGAGGGGTTTAACGTCCACTTGACACAAACTAGGTGATTTCGAGACTAACATATGGTCCAATTTTATTTCAATAATTCGCGTGCGAGTAAAGGTCTTTAGCAGTCGGAGGACCCGGAGAAAACCCACGAGGTTGCACAGGCGATCCTACGCCTTGCCTCGTACAACCAGGGAATCGAAACCACGCCTGTTGACTCAATGACAGACCTTATGATTACAACGCCGCACGCGCTAACCATTGGGCCATCCAACCCCTCAAAAGCAGTAAGAAATAATGTTGTTTTCTGTGTCTCTACACAGCAGCTGTCAATAAGAAACATTCACACGAGAAGAGTTTTAAAAGTCACCTAACCAAAAACAATCGTATTGATATACCCCTTTACAAATTAACGCCTACAACAAGAATCATAAAAACTTTTGTCACAAAACGCACAAAAACTTACGTTTAAAGGTTTGAGTCTTCTAACCGCTAGTTTCCCACACTAAAAACCTGTCGATCTAATATCGATGAAAGCAACTTTTATAGTTTATGTGTGTCGTTCCTGTACACCAAACGTGAAAACAAGCTGCTTTCATGCTTCATAGCCTTGAGAGACAGGCTGGTCATACAAACGAGAAAACAAGACTGTACAATCTTTCTGTGAGGATCACATGCCGTATAACAAGACCAATTCAATAACACGGGTCGGTTTCACATATCGAGAACTGGTTACAGCGCTGTCGATCTCGGCACTCGCATTGTGTGATCTTCCTTTGCTCTTTGCTCTCTTGTGTCAGAAGTTAGCTTTAGTTGCATTTATAGTTAATGCTGTGTTTTAAGTCCATTCGCTGTATTTACGAGCCCACGAATCGCTAGTACATCATTTTTGATTTTTGCGAGAACCTGGAATTGATCGCGGATATCTAATCCGAGAGAGCGGCTTTTGAGTGGAATCGACTTCAATAACGGAGACACGATAAAGTCGCTTCCCACTATTTTCCCATCAGAGGCGGCGTGTATGCTTGGGGTAAATTGACAAACAATCTCAAGTTTGTCTTTCCTTTCGTGTCGCTTGTACAGTTTTGGTTTTTATACCATTCACACATCGTAACAGTATCCTAAGCGTTAAGAGAATGTCTTAATGTCAATAATACAGTTTGCCCAACTATGATAAATATTTTTAGAAGAATAATTTTACACTTGCCAACCACAATCCGCATACGGCTTGTTGCGGTGTTTGCGATTTAGAGATGAAACCAATGAGCATGTTAGAGTTCGGTATCAAAAGATTGGCAAATGTTTGATAAACGGAAATCTCTCTTATATAAAAAGTTTGGAAACGGCGAGTGTGGGAACGATGGCGAAGGAGACTGGGAACACCGTGTAGTATAGTTGGAACTATACTCCCGTGTAAATAATAGATTGTTTGCATATTGACATTATGAAAGATCAAGTTTTTATAAGTCAAGTATTTTGAATTGATTTAATTTTATTTGAGGATACTTGTCTCATCCTTGAAACGATGAAACGGATTATCTCGATAGCCATTTTGCTTTTGATAACGTACAACGTAGAATGTATCTGGTGACTCCTCACCTGAGATTCTAACTTGAATGTGGGTTACTCGCTGTTTTCAGATTTATCTTGTGGAATCAAACATGTATTGTAGACCAGTATTCTAATGTATTCATCAATAAAGCAATTTTGTTTTAAATCATGAATAGTTTCATGATGTTATAAAAAATATACGACACAAATTCTTAACTATGTCCACTTCCTGCATAAATGAGAAGTGGTATTTGGTGTTCTATGTAAAGAAAGCATACAATGCCTCGTGCATGACATTCGACACATGTCTAATTATTATGCGCAGATGTTGTTTTAGTTATTGACATTTCCAAGAACTATTCTAATTTGTCAGTGTTAAATTTTCCAAAACTGACAAGTTCTTTCAATGGAACAAAAACAGGTTCCCTGTGAAATACACAAAAAACAATGCCTTTTTCAGAAATAGAATATACATGTAATTATATCTATTTTATCTTACAACGTATTTAATACCATTTGACTAATTTTCCCATCGGCCGCAACATGAATAACTTTATTATTCATATATTTCAATCCATCCATTAATTAATATTAAAATGACCATTAATTATCCCCCATTTGCATACTGTTTTGTTAATTACGCATGTAAATATAAATAATTAGACAGACTTACCTATATTAAGAGAAAAATATCCATTTTCATTGAATAATAATCCGATTGATTTCCTCATAAACCCAATAATAGCCTTGTAAATGTAATGATTTATCACAATGGGTGCTTAGTTAACTTTTGAAATATACTTCACCACAATTAGTAATCAACAGTATTATGCAAATAATGAAACTTATCAAAATTAGTAGTTTGTGGTCTAAAACAGTATTAATAATTAATATTTGTTCTACCAAAAGATTAATTAATCTAAGTAGTAATTAACTAATTATCATCTGGAAACATGTACGTCTTTAGTTTCGTTGTCACAAGAAACATCACCTCCTTGACTTCATAAAACCCAACCAATGATATGAAGCATAGTACGACTTGTATGGCGAACTCCTCAAGGTATATAAACGGCATGTAGCCATTGGCGCGTGACGAATCACGTGACGGGGAAGCGCGTCTGCGGATAAAAATAGGGGACGAATACAACGACCACCAGGACTACTGGTACAACTAATACATCTGTTTCCGTGTGCAGTCAAACGACTGATGACGATTGTCTTTTATTCTTTCCTCGGACAATAAAAGTCAGTGGAAAGTTGCACGACACCAAATGATTAATTCAATAGTGTCTGTAATCTTGAAAGAAAGGTGCGAAATTTCTCAAGTTTTTAAATTTGACGATACGTGACTGAACTATGGTCGAATCGGATCATGATCAAACAGTAATGTAAATCGATTGAATTGTGGCTATTTCACGTATTTCTTGACAAATCTAGGTAGATGGAAAGAAAAGATTTGAAATCGATAAAGAAACGGCGAACGTTACTTTGATTATAAGATAACTGAGCACCAGTATAGAAGGATTACATACCAAGCTATTGTGTACAAATAAAATCAAATAACCATTTCTCTTTTCACACTAGTCACCAGAGAATGTCATTTAATGAATATATTATATAAGATTGACTTAAACTGGTTAGATATTGGTCTGATACTGTGTGAATCGCTTATACAATTTACGTCGCTATACATTTTATATAGCCGGTCCAGCGCGAATAGATTGGGGAATAAATTCTTATCGGCTTATTTTTGGAATGAAATTGGTTGTTTGAAATGATAAGTGTGCAGTTTGTTTTCAACGGCTAAAATAACTAGTAATGCGACAAGGGATTCAGTCCAGATGGCGGTGATGCAATTTTATTTTTCTAACCTTCGAAATTACATATTCTACAAATTAATGCATTGCTAGTATATTAAATAAGAGAGAGAGAGAGAGAAAGAGAAAGAGAGAGAGAGAGAAAGAGAAAGAGAGAGAGGGTAACGTCTACTCGACACAAACTAGTTGATTTCAGGACTAACATATGGTTCGATTTTATTTCAATAATCCGCTTGCACTGGAGGGGGGGGGGCCTTAGCAATAGGAGGAAACCGGAGGACCCGGAGAAAACCCACAAGGTTGAACAGGCGACCCTACTCCTTTTCACGCGCAATCGGGAATCGAAACCACGCCAGTTGACTCAATGACAGACCTTATGATACAGCGCGCTAACCATTCGCCCCCCCCCCCCCTAAATAAAAGAGATAAAATGAATTTTAAGCCGTACAGTTATAATAACATAAAGTAACATCTATTCAAGAGGGTTATCAAATTCAAAGTCATAACAAAAATATGTCTGAGGTGGGCGTTCCAAAGTAATTGGTAAGGAATAAATGAATTCGAATTTGTCACAAACGTTTATAAATAACAATATCGACGTTATGTTTAAAAAAAGGATAACAGAACAAAGCAATTTTCAAATTCTAATCGTCAACGGCTTGGGATGAATGGTATATGATTTTTTATTACTAATTAAAAGCGACTAGTGAACAAATTTTATGAAGTATTCATGTAGCGTCATCAGACGATAAGACTCTTTAAATACAATGGACAACACAAGTCGTTCAATTTCAGTACAATTACATGAATTATTTGAAAGAACAAAGAGCGTATCTTAAAGACAGCTGCTGGAAAATAATGTTGAAAAAAGTGAATGCACCAACACTTACATAACAATGAAAGAAAACGCTGTTTAAATATTCACACAAATGAAGCAACAATTAGATTTAAATTAGTGAAATGCATTATTTTAGCTTCGTCTAAATTTTTGGTTTTTTTTTGTCTGCCGTTGAGTCATACATTCCAAGCTTTGCGTGTTTTATTATTTATTTTTCAAAAACTTCAATCGAAGTCACGCCTTTATGATTTTACGATTCTAAAATTACTTGGGAAATGAAGTCAGTAAGTATTGATCTTACTAAATGATGAGGATCTTAAGTTAAAGTGACAGATACTAAATATGCAGAACACCGGATTTAATTTTCGTTTACAGCTTATCCATATCTAACAGTTTTCTTGGTAGTTTAAATGCAATGTACAATTCTGATCAGCTTTGTTAGGTTCGCATTTGTTTTAGACCCATTTCGATACATGCACCACAATGATCAATTATTCATATTTTTTCGCAACCTTGTCCCTTACGCCATATCTGATAACATAGTTCAGTAGCTCGTCGTGGATTATTGCTGTCAAAATTATTGCACATTTAAGAGACGGTCGCTTTAAAACCCGATAATAAAAACTGTTGGCATAATCTTAGTACTAAGTCTAAGTGACAAGAAGATCTCCGTTCTATTATGGGACATCGTGTAGTGGATTAAAGGGTCTTTCTACTATCTTGTCCGTATCAATTAGTATAATTACGATCTAAGAGATTCCCCCTGCAGTATAGCCACCTTCATCTATATACGTAGAAAGCCTTGAGCTTCAGTGTGACCAGTGATCTATTCCGGTACAAGTCATTTCAGTATGATGTTAGTAATGATTTGTGACAATATGATTACCTACAGTTGGTTAAACGTGGAAATATTAATCCCTTTTGATGTACATTACATTTATCATGGTATATTTAGTGTTATACGTATACATTGTATCTTATATTATACTTATTAGATACATAAATGGAAACAACGAATTATCATATTTTTTCTTCTTTATACTAGATTAACATTGACACTTTTTGATATGCAAACAGTTTATCGTTCACATACTTATTGTATACATACATGGACTATAAAAATCATGTTCTCTTGCCAGTAACAATTAATCCGTTTTGATACGCATTACAGGTTTACATTGTTTCCTATTATACTTATTATATAGATAAATGGAAACTGTTATAAACGAATATATCAAAGAGAAACACGGACCATCCAAATTGAGTGACAAAATAACCCAATATAGTTTCACTCATCCCACTCATGGATCATTAATCAATAATGTCATCATTGTTATTTCATAATTTTAAAGTCTGTGTTGAATTGGGCTGAGTGAAATCATGTGTGACGTAATCGTCCTGTCTGAAATAATCAGGAGACAGAGTTTGCTTATACTTCCTTCGATACTTTCTATAACTTTCTATCTGAGGAAGTATGCCGTTCCCTGAGACACTGACATATCCAGGAATATGTTTATATCATGCTGTTGATGAAGGACATTTTTCAATTGGCAATTTCACACGGCCAAATCGATTCAGTTTTTAATTAAGCAAGTTCAGCCAGACAGAAAGTTACACTGTATTTATTAATTGTTGTATCAAACACGAAGAACAATATCACGTAACCTCTGGTCCAGCATCATTGTGATTTTTTTTAAAACATGACATTTTCGGAAAGCACTGAAGCGTTTGCAAGAAATAACATTTTCCTGTGTAATATTAATTGGCAAATAAAGAAACAATTATGAATCATTAATGGATAGTTAGTGCACTCAAATAACAATAATAGTGTAACATAACTCTAAAAAATTGTAGTTATTTTCCACGGCTGATCGTTTTCATAAATCTAAACGCAGACGTTTTTTTTATAAAAAGAAGTTTCAAATGTCATTGCCTTCGTTGTTCAACAATTTTATTTTTTAAAGGAAGTGCAATTTCCACTCGTCATTGACATTTACTTCTCAATGGCGTTGTCGCAATTACAATATTATTACGACGCCAGGCGTTTTTGTGACTAAACGTATGAAATTAACTTCAAGATAACAGTATGCAATTAAGACTCAATTCCTGCACATCGAATAAAAATGATGAAAATCCCCAATTACCATTGCGTTATTTTGACGAATACCAAAGGACAGACAACTTTTTTCCTGTGGAATTCCAATTCAGGAAATGCTAATAGCTCAGATCATTGCGTGATTGAATAACAAAAGAAAATGGCCATGTGAGAATAGCGGATTTGATTGTTAACATTCTTCTACTTTGAAACAGTAAACAATTATAATTGTCGTGTAGACTCTAGGGGGCAGGTGTGACTCATTAAGTTAAACACTCGCAACTGAACCTTAATGCCCTGAATATGAATATAATATGTACACAAACGGCATAGTTTCGACTCGAATTTCAAAAGCCGGGGCCACTTGCAATTTCCACTACCACAAAATCGTATTGAAAAATATAGATAACTAATATGTGAGAAGGGATTTCAGATGTTCACGCAAGCATATTCTACTTAGTGCATGATTTTTTTTTGACACTACTTACAGCTAAATATGGATGGCTTGGAATAGCAATGTCCACGTTTTACAGTTTTGACAATATTTACAGTTAAATATAGCGATGCTTAGGAAGAGAACTTGTAGAAGCTGAAAGTACTAGGTTACTTACATAAGACAGTATTGACTGTGTGTCGATGTCAGTGTCTTAAGTAATATCCTGTTAGAGGTGTTCGCGTATCTTGGAAATTAATGTGGATGCTTGTATGACAACCGATAACAACTAACACAATGTAATAAGAAGACGGGTATTATTATTATTATTATAAAAGTCGATAAGAAAGGTCTGAATCAATAGGGCAGATTTCCTAGATACACACGAATAACTTCCTACATATATACTTAGTTCACCTTTTGAGTCTATAGGGGATAAGACAAGGCGATCGTCTATACTGTATCATTTACAGATGAATAATAAAGATAGTTAGAACATTTTTAATTACCAGCATTCCAATACGATAAACACGGTCCAAGGGATGAAAACAATTGTTTAGCATTAGAGAAACAGACAATTATAATCAATATCGGTTTCCTTTGATCTTTTGTCAAATAATCGAAGCGTGAACAATAAAAAATGTTTCATATATACATTTTATGTTTATATACACCGAGTAATAGATATAGACCGGGATTAATGCTACGCATAACGATGCAATGTTTAATAAAATTGCCTGTTATGAAATTAAAATGGTTCTATTGGAAAGGTATAAATTACTTTATATTAATTTCCTAAGCCTTTATCTACCTCAATTATATCGATTAATACGGAAGAGCTATTTTAAAATTATTTTAATACACGGCAGAACTTTATAAATTTAAATAGTAATATGAAATAGAATAGGCCCTTAAAACAAATCGTACCGTTAAATGGGCGTATGCTGGGAACATTGATTAATACAGAAGTGCTGTTTTTAAATTATTTTAATATTCAATGTTAACATATTGATATCCA